TTCGCATTAAGAAAAGCTATTTTCTTCTTAAGCAATCTTTAGATATTAAATAAATTTCAATTTCCTTTCAGATCTAATCGATTGCACTGGGACTACCTCTAAACCCTTCCAATAACGCCAGGATTTTTTGATTAAATTTTAATACCTCCTTATACACAATCTCAATCTTCAAGTATACGTTTCTAATGTTTCTTAACGACTTCATCAAATAAATCATGTGTTATGGATGCGATGACGTTGAAAATAACCAAATAATGCTAGCGTCTTTAAGATAATTATATTTTTCCATTAAAATCATTTTAACGTTTTCTTAAAATATTAAAGCTTAACAAATCTAGGGAACGTTATTATATTAAATATATTCTTAGTCCCGTAAATGATTATAATATATTCATTCTTTAATTTATTGTTTAAATTTTCTAATTACAGAATTATATTGTTAGAATGCATCTGGTAAATATACTAATTATTTTTCTTAATTGCATAAACTGATTTACATATACTTAAATTTATTTTTTAAATAATTTTCTGTTATAAAATTAAGTTTATAAAATATTTAGAAGTTTAATTCATGCAAATATTTTATTAATGTAAATTATATGCTCTGAGATTCTTATAATTATAATTATAGACTTAATAATTATAATTAATATAGAATAAAACTGTGTAAAAATTAAATTGATATTTAAAAATAAAACTTCAATTTAGCATAAAATTGTGTGCTTAAGAACTAAATCAGATAGGAAACACCTGTCAAATGTTCAAATAAATTGAAAATAAACAATGAGAAAGTTAACTTCTACGTAAATTATTTAAAATGTTTTATCTTAAAGTATTGTCTGAAACTATAATTTTGAAATTTATTTCGCTTGTATCTTTAAAATTTCCAAATTTAATTGACTTATAATTAAATTTAATATTCGTCTTTGAGGAAAAGCAATAAATATTCGAGCCCGTATTAAGTTTTTGGAATTTATTTAAGCTTATGGCACATCCGTCTTATATGCAAGGGACAAAGTGCCTTCGAGCAATAGACTTGATGGTGATTGAGACACTTTGAACATAGAAAATTATACCCTATGTCTTTATTAACGTAATATCCTTAGAGACCTTGGGTTAAGTTAAATGCTTAAAATTTTATCAAAATATTTTGTGATGATAACAACTTTTACACCGGCCGATCTAATAAATAGTAATAATGTACTGTCATTAAAGTAAACCTGTTGATATCATCATGATCAGCAAAATGCCAACAGCTGCATAAAAAAAAAAATGATTTAAAATTTTATATAAAATGTATCATCACAAATTTTGAATTAGTAGCAAATTACAAGAGAAACGGATAAGAGATGAGGCATTAAAGAGCGCGTTGAAATGTCATTTCATCAAGATGATGCCAGAGAAACGAAGTTTTATAACTTAATTTCGTTTAAAAAGGGTATTCGCAAAAAAATGAAAGGTTTAAAGCTTATACAAAAATCATAATTTACGAGCAAAGAGGCCCAAAACGATCAGCATTAGATTCGGTGATTAGCTGTTTCAAGTCACGATTTGCTACCAGCTCATAATTTATAATATAATACAATAAGTATCTTAATAACCCTAGGAACTAAAGAAGTAAATGATTTTATACCCGATTCATAAGCTTCGTGGTGTGAATTTATGTAGCAATTAGAGATATTAACCTCTAATTATCACCGTCTGAGTTATATGAATTATACAACAGTTGTTTCGCCAAATAGCCGAGTGCACTAACAATTTCCTACTGATTCATCCTAATTTAATATTATTCTATAAATTCAATTTTAATTGTTAAAAAAACTCCCTTCAATTTAACGTTAGACAAAAATGTCATAAGTGGTATTTCCATTAGCTGGATCTATAAACAGCTTACTATTAAGGGTGGTCCCATTATGATATCTATAATGGCCTGCACCTTCTAGATAACATTATCTTCTGAAGAGACCTGGAGATATTTACTTAAGTGGAATACACGCTTTAATCTAAAAACAACCGATATTTCTATATATTTATTAATAAAATCGACATTAATTTTTAAAATAAAGTAATATTTTGTAGAAAATTTTTTAATTCAAGCGTGTCTAAAGTCTGTATTGAGAGTAATCAATACCAATATACAGGCCTTTCGTTTATAATTTATATGTACTCCATATACGCGTCCTTTCAATTTACATATATGCATCTTTATAAGAACCTTACACTCGACTGAGCCTCTTGGGTTTAACTGACAAAACTCGTGAAGGATTCTGCTCTAGATCCAAGTTAGATTCATGTAGATCTCTATTCGTATATTTAAACTAAAAGCTTCGAAGGTTTGTATTTTTAATGCTTATAACTCGACAATTTCGGAGTATATGTTATGAAAGTTACAAAGCGCTAGTTATTATGTATTTAATCTTTCAAAGTTTTCATTTTACACAAAACTAGAGTTGAACGAATACAGTGTTAAACCTTTTTTCTTTACTTCAGTGTATAAAACGCATCCGAAACGATTCGCCATCTGTTCGACTACTTATGTAAAACTGCCAAGTACCACTTTAGGGGTGTTCAAAGAACCAATTTCGCAGTTACGATTTCAGCGTGGCACCCATCTTTCCCAGCGGGTTCCATTACACCAAAGAAAGGTCTCGGGCCTCTGGGGTACTAAAGTCGCAACTTAATGAGAGGGAGGAACACATGATTCTTATCATTCTGGCTTTATCGTTTATGTGCCTCTTTCTCGCAATTTTCTCATATCTAATTTTAATTGTCTCTCTTTCTTCCTCTTAATCTATTAAATGTCCTAATTCTATATACATTATTTTCTTACAGAAATTTTCATTTGATACCAATTTAACTGAATAAGATATATAAAAGTGTGTAAATAATATAAATATATGATTTCACAACAAATAAAAGAAGAACGTTAACTAAAATAACGAATTTAATCATTTATAATTAACTTACTAACAGTTGTAAAGATTTCAATTAACTATAGTTAATCGTTAATATTGATCATTAGGGAAGGTTAAATGCTTCAAAATCACTAGAATTTAAAAAAAAATATATCACAGATATAGGCGTAATATTCTTTTTATTGTTCTTTGCTACTAAAAATTAGCATAACATGTAATTCTCATCTTCTCTAGCACCGACAAGAGTTTAGATATTGCTTTAATGACCCTCATATATTGCAGAACAAGCACAATTGCTAGCTGAACTCATTATCCTGACAAGTCGCTGGTTAAATGATACCTTCTAATAAATTTTAATCTATTAATGAGATGCTAATAGAGCGCTATTATTTTCAATAAAAAAGCGTGATAATAAAACAGTTAAACATTAATAAAAAGAATATTTCCCCTTAGAGAAATTTGTTTGGTTGAAAAATAGTTCTAAATAATTTATGCTTAATTATATGCATTAATAAGGTTATTAAATATTGATAAGTGATAATAGGTTGAATAAAGATAAAGTAACATTGTCGCTTGTACAGTAATAAAAATATATATATTTATACCATCTCGAGAT